AAACCCCGCTAGCTCTAAATTGAAAAATCATGATTGAAATAATATCAAGATTTGATAAATACTCATAAAACTTACCCAAATTAAAGAAGAATGTTTAAACTTTGCAATAAAATTTAATTTACAATTAAATGTTTATATATTTATGTAAAAATCTTTTGAAAATTTGTTCAAAATTTTATTTCTTAAATAAAATTTTTAGTAATTAATTATTTCAAAATATATTTTGTCCATAGATGTATACTAATGAAAACTATATTAGGATAAAATCTAACCTTCTGGTGTATTTAATTTTAAAATGAGATTAAGTGGTTTGCCAAGCCCCGAGGTTTGCATAACCCCAATCTCCCCTAAAATATTATACAAAAATTTTTATTAAATACTATAATTATAATGTGATTTTTAATTTTCGTGAGAATGATGCCAATTTATCAAGAATTTCGTTTGTTGTTGGAACCAAATCTCTGTGGAATAACAGAGCTAACCTATTTAGCCGAGATTCGGAAGTAGTACTTCGTAAATATGTTTTCAACCTTCTCAAGTTGGAAAAAGTCCTATCATTCGTACATGTTGTTATAGGGCAACATGAAAGAATATAAAACAACTTCAAAATATTAGGAAATTGAGTTAAGGTTTCTTTACACCGATTGAGCGCATCAATAGCATGCTCAGGTAAAATAGCTAAACGTAGTAAATATTTCACAATTCGAATTCACTGATTAAATTTATTTCAGTATCAATATCATAGGAATAAAATTTTGCCAAATATTCAATTTCACCAATAGTGGCATTAGAAAACGAAGAAGGATCTTTAGGTAATAAAACTTGAAGATTGCTAAACACTTGTTTTTTATCTAAAAACTTAACTTATATTTGCGATAAAAAAGTATCTAAGAATGGAATGATAATGGATATTTTATAATATTCTTACATCTCAATAATTGTAGGTGCTAGACGAGGTATAATTAGTGTTATATCATAAAATTTAGCCTTCGATTCAACGTCTAGATAAATATTATGAAAATATTCATCTACATTCATTCTTATTGTATCTACCTGTTCATATATTTTTCGCCAAATCAATAACCTGAACCAAATCTAAATTTGGTTTTTGTAAATTTCTACAAAATAGTGAGCTATAGGAAAATAATTTATTGATGCAACTAGCAGGAATGATAAACTCTTTGATCAATTGAATTCAATAATGATATTGCTTCTGACGACACATTACTTTTTTCATGCTCAGCCTTATTTAACTTTTGTATTTCTATTTCTTCTGTTCTACAAATTGGAAGTAAAATTGAAAAATATTTAAAAAATTATAGATATTTATTAATAACTAAAATATCATTAAAAATACTTATTAATTCTAACTCACTAATAATTTTGAATTTAATAAAATAATTATATATAATAATAAAATAAATTACCGTTTGATTTCAATCTCTTTGACTAAAATTTTTCCATTTTATTAATATTTTTGAATAATGTTAATGTACTCACAAGGAAAGGAAATTTTAATAAAATATATTTATAAAAAATAAGTTTTATGTTGGAAAATTGATATTCAAATATTTGTAAGATTGGGGAAAGAGGGTGGGGGGGGGGGGGGGGGGTAAAATTTTTATTAGCTTAAAATGATATTTATGAAAACAGTCAAATTTGCGAAGGGGGGGGGGGTGTTACCTTCCTGTACGTTTTATTATTGTATTTTGTATTATTTTATAATAATTATATATATACATATTTATTATGTAAAAAAAATTTTATACATTAAATAATTTTACTCATAGGTTTGACAAATTATAATTTAATGTATTCATAATATAACTACCATATTGAATATTAATAAAGCTCATTTTTTTAATTAAAATTTATTAATTTTTTTAAATAAAAATTTAAAAAATATTGTTCAAATCTTTTATCAAGATATTGTATATTTCATTTTTTGGAAGACTTGGTTCAATTGGAATACTTCATATTGAATATAAAATAATTTATATAAACCTATTTTCAAATCCAATTTAATATATTTACTATGATGTGTATTTTTTTTAAACTTTTATTCAAATCACTGTAAAATAATCAATATATTTATCTAGATGATTATAACATCAGTATTTTCTTTTTTATTTTTATTTCCTGTATCATCCAATGATCAATGAGTTCATATCATAATATAAATTTATTCAGAGTTGTTAACGCTCCTTTTTAAAAGTAGCGAGCTCCCGCTCCTACCTTCTCAAAAGGAGCGATCTACCGCTCCCGCTACTACATATTAAAAGGAGCGCTCCCGCTCCAACTAATGGAGTGCCGCTCCATAACCGCTCCTTTGATTTTCATTTTTTTAAAAGGTACACGAAACAAAATCATATTTTTTTTATCAAAACGTTTTATTTATATTATATGATATATCAAAATATTTATAATCTTTTATTAGCTTTTAAAAGTAATAAATTTTCTAAATTAGAATCTAACAAACACCCACGCTACTCCCCTAAGACCTGTTTTGCAATACTAAATAGGCGCTCCACAAGAGCACTAGAGGGAAGCGGGGTATTGTATTTTATATAAATATTTTTTAATTCAGGGAATTGTTCAAAAATAGTAATTTTGCTATCATTATTTAAAAAATATCTATCCAATATATTATCTTCATGGTGATCAATTTCATGGAATCCAAAGAAATCTTCCAAATCTTGCAAGGTTCCCGTGAACTAGTTGTAGCTATTTTTCCGTCGGGTATTTGTTTCCTTAAAAAATTAATTAATCTGCCTTTTAGTTCCATATTTTTTGGATTTTTTATCCATTCCCAATTCAATTTGAATGCGGGATGGACAATCGCTGCAATGATATTATCATCATTATAAGTATTTGAAAATCTGCAATAAAGTTATTTAAATAGATATAATTTATTTTTTATTATAAACCTTTTATTAATACCGCTTATAAGAGACTTTACAAGAGGTTGGCAAAACTCTAAATCTGTTAATTCGTTTAATTTTGAAATAAGTTTAGAAATGGTTGGACTTAGGAAACCCATGTCTATATGAAGCTCCCCTTCAAGGATTTTTAGAGCTTTTTTCATAGGCTCCATAACCTAAAATTTATTTATTTCACTAAGATAACGATTATATTAATATTTACTTGACTATACTCTTTAATAAATTTACGTTCTTAGGAGTTAAAACGTATAAGCCCATGGTTATCACACAACTCATCAAGGTCCTTTTGTTTTTCATCTAATATTTTAGCTAGCAAAACCATAGACTCATAATACGAATTCCACCTAGTGGAATTTGGGCATATTAGATACCTACCCAACTTTCTGATAATATCGTCCGCCATATTTGTAGACATATTTTGTTTATTCCACAAAGATTGACTTAGATGAAAAATCAATATAAAACTCGGCTCAACATTTAATAATGAATAAATTTAAATTAAATAAAATAAAATTTTCATTAAATTTTAATTAACAAATATTATTAATATTTAAAAAATAATAAAATTTATATATTAAAAGGAGCGGTGGAGCGGCGCTCTTCTGCTCCAACCTTAAAAGGAGCTACTCCCGCCCCGCTCCTCATTTTTAAAAAGGTGGGGCGGTCCAGCTGTTTTTGAGAAAATGTAGCGGCGCTCCAGGAGCGCCGCTCCTTAACAACTCTGAATTTATTGACTATCAATAACAATCTTTCTCCTAAATTCAAGAATATCTAATTCTTTTACTGATTTGTTATTACTATAGATATGCCATCGTGGCGATAGTCTAGAGGAGCAGAAAGGTAATGGGGGGGGCAGTTTCAAAAAATGGATATTTTTATTAGAGATATTTTATCTAGTCATAGTTATAAATCCACTATGCTTATTATATCCCTATTTAAATATTCTATTTCCATGGTTACCTCCCTTTACACCAAGAGAATTACAATAACATTTTTTTATACAGTATTTATACTAGGTTTTATATTTTTAAAGTCAGATTTGTGAATAGAATATTAATTTAGTAAAATTTATGCAACATATTATAGTAAAATCGAATATAAATATTAATCCATGTTCCTGCGTCTTTATGACCCAAGATCAAAATATTTTAAAAAATTTACTCTGAGTATTAGTATATGTGCCAAAAAATGATAATTTTATATTTAAAGTGCCTTAGATAATTTACTCTATTTATTCGGCTTTTATGCATAATATAATAAATGTCAAAATCAATGATATATATCATTGGTCAAAATATTAAATTCAGAATAATTGTTCAGAGTTAGCAAATTTTAAAAAGTATAATATATTGATATAAAACCCGGCAAAGGACGGGAAAAAGCGGGCCGAAGGCCATGAAATTAGGGGATATGGGGGACTATTTTTTTAGTTGAGTCCCCTAAGATTGTAAAGGCTAGCTACGCCCCTGAAGTGAGTCGACTAAATGAGCCGCTAAGCGAGCCAACTAAGTAAGCTGACTCGAGCCAACTAAGAGAGCCGACTAATCGAGTTGACTAAGCCAACCAAGTGAGCCAACTAATCTATCTAGCCGACTAAGTGAGCCGACTAATGCAGCTCATTAAGTCAACTTGAGTCGGAGTCATTTTATCGACTAGAAGCTAGACTCGAGTTGCAGTTAAGTCGTCTCGGCTTAGCTAGTTAACAAAATTACGTGTCACTTTGCTTTTTGTTTTAAAAATGATTTAGTAACACAAGGAAAATAATATTTATTTAAAATGACTCTAATGAGAAAGCTATTTAAATAAAATATTAAAGTATTTGCTTAAATAAATGTTAATTATTTAAAATTTGAAAAATGCAATGCTCAGCTATCTTTCAATGATATTAATTTTGAAAAAATGGGCTCTTACCTTACCTAAAGCACATAGCTAGCAATGCCCATGCCATTATAAAAAATATGTTTAAAGATATTTAAGCCTATTATAAAAATAAAATCAAATAATTTGACATATTTTTATGATAACCTATGTTGAATGCTTGTTATCGATTTAGGCTTATTACATCATTTAGTTTATATTCCTTGTGCTAAAATAATTTTAGATAATGAAATTTGGTTATTTAGTTGCATTATAAAAGGTAATGTTTAAAAAATTTTTATTACTATGTTAATTATATGTACATTTAAAAATTAATTATGAAATTTAAAAACTAATATAACAATCAATTATTTTTTACAAATCTAAATACTTATTAAGTTGTTGCATATCTTGTATTTGTATATAAATAAGAATATATGTTTTTCCAATGTCAACTCACTTTCACATATTATTAATTTAAAAAATTATTTACAATATTTTGGATACGGCTAAATCTTTAATATTCTTCAAGTTAATATTTTTTACAATTTCACATTTGAAATATATATTTAAAAATGACTAAATATTCATTAATCTACAAAAATAAAATTAGCAAATTATGCTTGTAGTAGATAGATAGTTGCCAAAGAACCCATGATTTTCCTATAGTATGCATAAATATTGCAAATTGTCATTGCTTCTAAATAATTATTCTTTTTGCCTTTGATTAGTCTGTGTACATACCCCAATATTTGTTATATCAACTATACTACTTCCTTAAAATATTGTTTTAATATGATACTTTTTAGAATAAATTAACAATTAAGATAAAAATATATTTATATACAATAATAATGTATTTAGAACTAAAAAACTGTGAAATCTCTCTTTATTGTTGCCTTGGACTGGGTTATTAAGAGTGTCAGCCAGTTCAAGGGTGATAGTTGTGGGACTATTTTCTTTATACCTTTGGAGATATCAGGGGTACATAAACAATGGCCTTTTATGAGTGGCAATTTTTATTAAAATTAAAAAATATACTCTTGTAAATAATAAACTTAGTATTAAACATATTTTAATTTTTTAAATATAGATGGGGCATATTTTTAGAAATACCCAGGTCAGGCCATATATTTTGAAACTAAATATTTTAAATCGCCATTATTAGTTATAAATAAATATAATATTTTTTTTTTAAATCCAGGCCAAGCCTGAAAATATAAAACCCGGCTCAAGCCGGAAAAAAACTTGAAAAAAAATAATTTGTGCCCTGCTAAAATTTTTTTTAAAAAAAAATCTGGGCCAGGCTATGCATATGGTATATCTGCAGGTTTCTGATTAAAATAAAGCATAATGTTTAATTTAGAAAATAAATTAAAAATTAAATGTTTTAAAAAACTTTTGCTCCATATTTAAGTATCTTATACATCAAAATGGGTTGCTTTTGTAATTAATTTTTAACAAACATTACTATTGGCATTGTAAATGAATATATGAGCATTTACTATATCATAAATTAGTAAAAAATGAGCAATATTATTTATAGATAGTTTATTTGGTTTTCTTTGCTAAATGATTAATAATGTTTTTATATACCTTTTTAAATGATCTAAATGTTCCTATCACAACATTTTCAATACCTGGCCTGTAGACAAAATTTTGGGATGGTTGAAAGCTTTGGGCTGGATTGTGATGATTTATAATATAAAAATATGTAGAGGTGTACGATACTACTTTTTCAAAGTTAATCCAATCCAATATTCTCAATATTAAATTGATATCAGCAGACTACCAATCTGATATATCTAATTTTGTATTAAAGATAACAATGGTTTTAATTTTTAATATATTTTTTATTGGTGTAACATCATAATCTAACTATACCATAACTTATATCATTTAAATATATTATAATGCAGTTATAGTTTATATTCAATTCAATTGCAATTCTAAAAGTATATAAAATATTTTTATTGTTAAATTACTTTATAATAAGTAATAAATAAATATATTATGAAATTTAAAATAAATATGTAAAATAATATTTAACATTAATATATCAAAGATTTCTTTTTAGAAATACCAAAATTTCCAATTTATCAGAGGTCAGCCTGTAGCAATGGTAACTGTCAATATCACCAGCTTCACTAAAAACAGATTCTGAAGAGATTATTGCACACTTTTATAAACAGAATGCACAAAGAAATAACAATATGGCAGAATGTTTATTAATTATTATTTAAAAAAATAAAAAATGAATTTTAATTTTATTTATAAAAATAAATGATTTTAGATAACTTTTTTAAAAACTTTGTAACATTTTATTTTTGTTAAAAATACTATTTTTTATTAGATTATATCGGGAAAATAATATTGGCCAATAACCAATATTTTAAAATGGGTGAAATATTGGCCCGATCCTATTTAATAAAAATATTGGTACATCCCTAAAAATATGGCATATATTGCTCTTTTATTGATTTATATCTTTTTATTATCAATCAATAAATTTTTGTTTGAGATCTACACACCATGTTTAACTGGGCTTGACTAAAATATTATGAGCCCAACAACTCACGCAAAATAAGATTTTTGGATATAAAATTTAAACTTACAAGAATTTAGTTTGAATTTAAGTCCAGCAGGCTACTTAAAAATTATTTTTTTACTTTTTATCTTTCACCTTTTTTAGGTGGTAAGCTCCTTCCTTTCTCCACTTTATTACTCATGCTATCTATTTTTTATCTAATTTGTATTTCTGATTCCATTTGATCTCCCACCGGAGTATTGTATCAGACAAAAGTATCTAGTATCTTGATCTCGCACTGAAGTATTTATATAGACAGATATCCCACTGGAGTATTCCTCATCACATTGACAGATATCCATTGGAGTATTCTTATCGATTCCATTTCTCCCATCGGATTATCAATTTCGATGAATCTCTCACTGGAGTATCTTTATCAAGTCCATTGTATCTTTATCAAGTCCATTGTATCTTGATAGACATTAAGCTTGAATTGCCCCCAGTCACCATTATCCTAGCGCTGGCCACTAAATCATTATCATCTTCTAATGACCCACGAGTTCAGCTGGCCATCTTATATAGTTTATTGGACAAGTATCCTAGCACCCGGCTGTCCAACCCTGTCGGTGAACGGGGTGCCATTTCTCAACTCAGAAATTTATTATATCATATGTCTATACACATCTTCGAAGAAAAACTCGAAATTTTTTAGTTCCTTACCAGGATTGAACCTGGGACCTTCTGTTTCCAAGCTTATATCATACACCACTAGACCACCCCAGCTACTATTCATTACTTTATTTATTTATAATAGAAAGAAATTAATCAAAAAACTTAAATGACATATTTTTATGATAAGGATCCCATCCCAAAACTCAGCACCCCAAAACATCGTTCACTGCTAGACATTGAAAATCTTCTTTGTAAATCATATATTATAAAATATATATAAAAACGTCAATCATTTACACAAATTTAAAAAAGATACGCCATCTATAGGATAAAATGCTCATTTTTTTATCGATTATTCTTAAAACATTTCTAATATTTGCTTATAATATAGAATGGTAATCATATTATTTGTATTAAAATCGGAGTTACTCATTTTTCTTTACTAAGTTTTTATATACTCTTTTGAACAAAAAATACCAAAATTTTAACATTCATTTTTTAATATTCTATAAATATCAACTATACTTTTTATTTTAATAAGATTTTATTATTTACAAACGTATTGTTTTTAATCAATCAGATAATGAACCCTGTTTAACGCAGGTTTAAAACTGATTTATCGGCGATAACTTATCTATTTGAGGTGCAACAATTTACTAAAATGATTAAAATCGCAGTATCGGCGTTGGCCAATATGATATTTTCAATTTTAACCTGGCAACCAAAAATAAGTGAATACCTTTCATTAATTAAAATTTTATAAAAAAAATTAAACCGATAAAAAAAGGAAAGAAGTTATTGGTGGTAATCTTTACCTATTTCTTTTAATAATTTATATGTATATTATTTAAAATTCTCTAATATTCATGCGTTATTTTCGATTTTTTTAGCTTGCTAACAGAATTTCGAACCGAAAGCAAAAATATTTGTAGCTGGAACTTAAGTCCAGGTTCTTTCGTTATTTTTTCATTAATAGAAGTAAATTAATAGCATTCCAATATATTTTAAAGAAATAAATAATAAAATTTAACAGTAACATAATTTTTATACATAAATATAACAGTTTTAAGTACCTCTCATTTTCATAGAACCGGCTTCTGAAATCCTTAAAATCGGGTCAATATTTTATAAATCTCTACCTATAATATTTTTAAGCAATGTATCTTATCACTATGTCAAGTTTAACTTTTTGGCAAACTAGAAATATTCAAGTCATTTAAAATATAAAAATGCAAAAAAAAAATTTATTAGCTTATATAATAAGAAAATGTTTTTTTGTTTTATATTACAATGATAATTTTATTTCTTCTTAATCCGCCAGGATACGATGATTCATAATCATCTCAATTATTTTTTTCTGAAAAATTGATATGTTCATAGGGGCTCGGCCAATCAAAAAATAATTAATACTTTTCTCCCTTTCCTTTTACGCTTTCTTGCCACCATTAACTTCACCTTTTTGTTTCTTTACACATGCACATCAAATTAATATTAGTTATAAAATGAAAGAATTGAATTATTAATTACCTAATAATGATTTCTTTGAAAATTTGCCTGCCATGTGTATCTGTTTAATAATATATAAGGATTATGATGTATACCATGGAAAGTTATTGATCTTTAAATCTGTTTTATTAAAATATTAGCTTGGTAATTTTATCGTTATATACTAAAAAATTGTCATTTTCGAGTGGTGTCTGGGACCTATTGACGAGTGTATATATCACTTACCTTATAGATCAGGATTCGGGACCTGGTTTCTTTTCTGAAACCAACTAGATTCTGTGCTACGATGATATATAGAAAATCAGAAGAAACTGCCTGATTCCGTTAATATATATTTTTAAAAGTGGGACTTTTGCATTTAAATAAAATTTGGTTGTGGTTTAGTAAATATCTATATGACCACTAACGATATATATCATTACCTTATATATAGTATAAAATTAAATTTGCTTTTTATTCTAAAAATTTTTTAACCCGCTTTAATTGTATCTTGAAAAAAAATTCGCCTTTAGTTTTATTATATTTGTTAAAAAAATAACTAAACAAACTGATCGGATTTATTCCAATCACAGATCCCCTACCTTGCAGGGTATTGAACAAAATTCTTAAAAAAAATAAATAAATATAGATTATTAGCCTTAATATTAATGAGAGACTTGCAATTTTTAATAAAAAAATTTCGGCCCGACCCGGGTTTTATAATTTTTTAGGCTCGGCCCGGATATTTATTTTTTAAAAAATTACATTTATTCTTAATTTTTATAGCTAATAATAACGATTTACAATATTCGGTTTTAAAATATACAGCCTGGCCCGTGTTATATTTTAAGAAAAAACATTTTAGGCCTGTCCAGGTATATTTTAAAAAAAATTAAAAGCCCGGCTCCTGTACCCTGGCCTGCAGGTCTGATATTAATCATACTAACTCTTAACACTCCGACTAGTCAAGTCGCATGATTTAAAATGATAGTTCATTTATATTTTTCCTCATGGTGTTAGTTTATTTATTTGGCTATTACTTTTTTCTTTAAATTTCATTATGGAAGAAAAAATTTTTTTATCCTTACCTATTATTTATAATATATTTTAAATTCTTATCGTTATCATTTTTTTTTCAATGCACTAATTAATCTTTTTTTACGAATAAATTTTGTTTCCTAACTCATTGTTTTAATTTTTATCTTATTTTTGAATCATACATATTTTTTTATCGCTCGAATAAGATTTGGTCTTTTCAAAATTTATATAATAAATATCTTTTTCTATAGGTCAGCCGAATTTATTCATTTTCTAAGTTGACTCATTACCTTAAAAACATAGTTAAATAAAGATTATCTCTATCATTTATAATTTCCTCTCATTTAATCGGAAAAAATGTAGCAGTTAATAGGAATAGTTATCTGGTTGTTTCGCCTTTTTGAAATTAAAAACAAATAAATTTAATGACCGAATTTGAAAAAATAACTTAGGTTAGGGGCCATAGAATAACAAATTAAAAATAAACCCGGGCCAAAAATAATAAATCTATAATCATGACATTTATTAAAATGCCATATCTCCTAAATGTGAACTAGTCCCAACTTGAAAATTTGCACATTTAACTATCAATATTAGTGTTCTGCAAGGCCCGATCCCTCAGGGGGTCTGAATTTACTTTGGTCTTAAGTAGATACCACTTTTTGGAGACCAATCCGATATTCTTAATATTAATATTACATTGCTATCGGCCGATTGCCTATCCGATATCATATCGAATTTTTTTTTTTTTAGCTTTCACCTTTTCTGGTGGTAAGCTCCTTCACTTATCTATTATAATATTAATCTTGCTATCTATTTTTATCTTTGTATTTCTGATCGATTTCATTTGTATCGATCACCGGTGTATCATTTTTGAGGCCAAAGTATCTTAAACTCCCACCGGTATATGAAATCAGTATCGACCAGATATCCTACCTGAGTATTCCCAACACGGAGTTATCAAATCGACAGATATCCCAATCCTGATCTCCCAATATTTGTATTTCGATCGATTTCATTTGTATCGATCACCGGTGTATCACGAGGCCAAAGTATATCGAATTAATGGGTGAAAATCGGCCCGATCCGATAAAAAATATCGCTACATACCTAGTGCCTAATTTTGAAAACGATTTTGGTTCGGGTTATAAAAAAATTTTAAATTTCAGGCCGGGCCTAGTAATATTTAGGCTTGATGCAGATCTCTACTATCTATACATAAAAAAGTTGAGAGAAAAAAGTGCCTATTTGATTTTATGATTATTTTTTTGACATTTAAAATTTATAACAATATTTAATATTATATCACCTTAAAGGCATGCCATTCAGCTATATTAAGAAATTTAAATGTCACTTCTAGTTTCAAAAATAACTAAAATTAAAAGGAGTGCATTTTGCTTAAAATGCCCCATTTATTCGACATTTAGAGGCCAATATCTGAGCCTCTATTTGGAATTAGAAACTAAATAATATTTTTTTTATAGTTATATAACTATAAAAACTTTTGTAAAAATTTTAGAAAAATCTGAAGGGTTTAGGGATAAAAATTGTTTTTTTGTTGACTTGTCATGGTATTTAGATTTATCATATGTATAATATGTCACTATATTTATTTATGAATTTTAAAATAATTTACCCATTTTACAAGGTAAAATGTTAATCAAAATAAAACGAATTATTATATTTATTCTTATCAGATAAGATACACACCAAACTATGGAAATATTCAAACTCCACCTAAACAAAACGGTTTTGATCTTAGATTTAATAATCCTGATTTCAACTTTTCTCCTTCCTTCAATCAAATGCTTACTAGACACCAACGATAATTTCAAAGGTCCTAATGAAAAACTTAGCATAACTTCGGTATCCTTCCCTCCTTCCTCCTCAGGCGAAGATAATAATTCTCCTCATCCTTGCTTCTTATTTGAAGGGAACGTTCAATTTATGGTAGCCTACACCGACAAAATGACGATGAAGGTTAAGCCTAATTTAATTATTTCTATTTAAAGATAGATGAAAAAAATTTGAATAACCTTAATATAGGCTAAAATTAGCCTTTCAACCACTTTATTTTGTTTATATTATTGATCTCATTTTCTGTTTGTATTTTATAGAGGACTTATTTTATATAATTTCTTCATCAGGCATCCATCAACATCCACTAATCTTAAAAATTCATGTCGTTTCTCAGTAGGTAAGGTATATAACGCCCGTGATCAGAAAGCACGGGTTATCCCATTAAATCTCGATATTTCAAAATCTTTTTATTATAACCCAGGGTTAGTTCTTCATATCTGATGGGTCGGACTTATGCAATTTCAGAATGTGGCCCCGTTATGTTATGTTCTTTTATTATTTTTTAGCTTATTATTTTTAAATTTACCATGAAACTCTATTTACTAATACTTTATATAGCCCAAGCTCATCACGTTCGAGCTGCCTTCCGATTCGGTTCTAATTTCGGGTAACTGCTCCACCTCCCCTTCTCTTTCGCCATCTTCCCCAACTAACTTTACACTGCCAAACCCTAATCTCGTTTCTATCAGCGCCGTTTTCGAGGCTCGGCCGATCCGAACAGATGTGAAACCCTTCGATTGCGTGTTAGATTTGAATTTCAGTGCCTCCGTGATTTCCATTATTAACAATGTGACCAGCTCACAGGTAAATTAAAATAAATTTTTTGTAGAATCATCGATCGATTAATGAAATACTCTATATGTTTGTGAGTGATATTTAGTTTTATCATAGATATTTTATAAAAACTCATTATTAACATGGCGGAAAAATAAGCGTTAAAATTTTAATTTAGGTATAATTTTAAAATATTGTTTGATATGGTCAATAAAGTATACATTTATTTTATAATGATATCTCGATATGCGAGTATAACTTTAGCATTCCAATAATCCAATTACTGGTGCTTACTAGTGATCTGCATCGGGCCTAATTTTTCAACGGCCCGGTCCGAAATTTTTTTAAAAAAGTTTTGCCGGCCCGTCCCGAACCCGAAATTTTTTTAAAATGTTTTGCCGGCCCGGCCCGAATTCGAAATTTTTTTTTTTTAAATTTACCGAATATAGAAATTAATTTTTATAATTACTTAAAATAAAAGACATATGTTATATAGCATTTAGTTACAATAAATTAAATCAAAAATTTTTATTTTACATAAAAAAATCAATATAAAATTGATAAATTTAGGTATATTTAATAAAATTTCCAAGGTCCGACCCGGCCCGAATTTTTTTTAAAAATATTAGGCCTGGCCCGAACCCGATTATTTTAATTGATATAGGCCCGAAGCCCGTTCGGGCCGGGTACGGACCAGGCCTAACTTTGCAGATCTCTAGTGCTTACATCGAATAAATTTATAATTAACTGTAAATCAAGATTTTATCTCGGTACATGGTTGCTAGGTCAAAAATTTTGAATTCATATATAAATTTTTATTACATTTTTATGGGTCTCAAAAAAACATGATTATCAACTCACCTTGAGATTTGGATGAAATTTTGTACACTTAACTAAGTAAATAATGATTATAATATCAAAAGAAAATAACATTTTTTTTAAAATGTATATTTTTTTATAACAAGCCTTATAAAATTTTTTACTAAGACCAATATATTTTAGTATTTAAAAAATGGTTTGCCAAATTTTCGTTTTCACTTTAAAAAATCTATAAAATAAAAAACACTAAGGAAACAAAGAATTTTTTTTTAAACATAATATGTAATTATAAATATTCTAAATAATTTTTATATGAAATTCTTATTATGATAAAGAATCTGCAACATGAATATATATATAATGTAATATTTTTATTGGTAAGAAAAATATTTAAAAACAGTAAATTCGCTATTGTTCTACATTATCCAAATATTTTTCACATCTTGATATCTTCAAAATATAAGAGAGATACTACAATAGGTACCATGCTTTAATTACTTGTAGTATATAAAATTTTACCCAAATGCCAAAGGATCAATCGAATCTTGATCTCTTTGATATGGAATTACGCTCCTGACTCCCTCAGTTATTGCTTTTGCCCCGCTTTCAACCACGTCTCTCTCGTGGAATTTTCCCCCAATTTAGTTTTTATATATGGACCTTTTACCTTATTTTGACTATAGTTGATTATTTGACCACTTTTTATTAGCAATTTAATTTTGAAGAAATAAATTCATTAAAATTATAGTTAAAGCCGATTTATTTGTATTTACAAATAATATTAGGCGATCAATTAGGCAATGCTTCTTATGTTATAATATCTTAATATATAATATATACATACACAAGATGGTTAATCCTCTTATTTCTGCTACTTACGTGACGCTTGACAATATGACCCTTAATTGCGATATTAAGGAAGCTGTCTCCAAAGGTATTTATTTTTATAAATATGTATGACTTTTTTTAATATCAAAACATTTTCTTGGTTACCGCGTTCCTTTTTTTATAAAAAGAGTTTATTATTCCAAAAAAACCGTTGGAAAATATATTTATAATAATAGGTTTTATCTAGGGTTGGTGTGATCAAATCAAATTGGTTTAAATCACATCAAAATTTATTATCCTTTTTGTTTGCGTTTTAATTATTATTAATTTTTGTTTTTAAATAAAAACGTTTTATTATGCCTTATTTTACTATATTTTGCATATAAGTTCTAAATAATTATTAAAAAGTTTTCGGTTAATTTAATTGAAATATAATGTTACATCTTAAGATAAATTAAATTAAATGATATAGTTTAAGTTAAATTCAATCAAAATTTAAGTAAATTAAATAATTGAATCCCTAAAATGAACACCAAATTCACGTAATAAGAATTCAACATGGTCTAAATTCTTTATTTAATCATCTTTAAATAAATAAAATTAATCATCTAATTTTCAAAAATAAAGCCCAACTTTTTAAAATAAAACCAAAAAAAATTGTTATTTATATATATCATACATGTAATATTTTTATTTCGTAATATACGTGAAAAAAAACTAAGATATAATTTGGCATTATTAAGCTTAATGCATTTATAAAAAAAATATATTGTTTTAAAACAATTTCTTTCCTGATTTTAACATAAATAAATTTCGCATTTTTCACATTTTGTCCTTTGAATATGCAACAACATATAGCTTACACTTTAACTGGCAAATGACATATGCCATAAGATCTAACATCTGATATTATCGAAGTTAGCATATTTTTTTGTTTTATAGGGGTTCATTCGATGGTCTCTCTATTGTTTAAAATATTTTTTCTTTTTTTGAAGTAAATATCCTCGATACAATAATCATGCATTCGCAGTGCACTAGTCGAAAGTAGAATCTTCTGCCTTTTATGTCTACTCTGTAGCAATCAATAGTTTTTTTTTAAATATAAGGCCTTGGGACCCAAATGGAAAAATTATAATTCAATATTTTTAAATATCCAATTTCTATTATTGAGATTAGAAATACTTGGACCTTCATGAATATTAACAAGTTCATTTTTGTATATGAATGGATATCATCAATAGAATTATTAAAATTTTCATCAATATTATCAACTATATCTGTTTCTGAAGCAATATTATCATGATCAAATAAATTGATTTTTTTGCTAATCTTTATAAAATTAGAAAATTATAGTTATACTAATATTTACTATTGTTATCCTTTTATATAGCTAGCCATAAAATAAAGCTTTTTTTGTAAAAATATATCCAAACGTTATATATTTAGATATATTATAATGTAATTTCTATTTCTGTTATTCATCTAACTTATTTAATATCAATTTAAACATTTTTATGAGTAGTGTTGTTAAATACTACAAAAAAATATTCGAATTTCATTTGTTTGAATGATAACTTATTAATTTAATTTTCTAAAAATATTAAGATAAGTAATATATTTTTATTACGCACTAAATATTATTATTCTACAGTCTATGCCCACCTCTCAGAGCCAATAAGATTAACTCCTTTGGGAAATTCCTTCACTTGTGGCCAAAACATCGTTAATTCCATCTCCAACAAGACGGTAGAATCTAATGACACTTATAAAAATTTTAGGCACAATGACCTGATCACTATATCACTTTGGCCGCCATTTATTACTATTTCTTTGAAAGCTTTTAGAGTTCAGGCTTTCCGATCTCTTGTTGATTCTGCAGAAAAATCTGAAATTAATAAAATTGGTGTCAACAATAGTAAAACTGGTGATGGTGGTAATAGCGATGATAGGCTGGACAAATATTTCGGTCCTGGTGAGTCAAAATAATAGATTTTAATAACATTATTTTTTATAATTTTTTGCCAAGTGGAGATGTAAAAATATAATAATTGAACTGCCATATTTATTTATTATGTTGAATTATAATTGCATAATTTGAAGAATCTAAATTGCATCTATTACTTATATAAGCTGTCCACTGCGATTCTGACTACCTTCCCTTATCTCTCGAACCAAACAATAAAAAGTTTTCAAAATATCGGGTTCCATTTATTCAAAATCATAATAATTCTCACCTGGGCAGCGATGTTAAAACACTGTACGATTATACTGGCAAGCAACTTTTGAACATAGATCTCGATTATTTTACCAGATATTCCAACCCGTTTCCTTTTAATTCAAATAATACAACTACCTCGAATACTAGTAATTTAATTTAAACGATTTTGCTATAACATTTACATTATATGAAACTAGCTTAAATTAATCTTTTATAGGAAAAATCTCTATTGGTTTAACAGTTGGAATATTTAAATTATTAACCAACGATTCATTTTTGGTAAATTCTTTCGTAGCAATTTGTTAATTTTTTGGTGGCTAATAATTTAATAGGAGTTCATCTTTTGTGTAGTATCTTAAAGAACGTAAATTGACATCCTTGCATTCAGTCTCCTAGTGTTGTTTAAAGTCCGATTCGGGTCGATTTTTAAAAACGGTCCGATTAAGAATATAGCCAAAATAATATTTGGCTAAAATCTTAATCGAGCCGTATTTAAAAATCGACTCAAATCGGGCTTTTTAACAACACTATGTACTCCCAAATTAGCGTTTTCATTTCAAATTTTATCATATCTATTCCTCTCTCAGCAGCCAGCACTGCTACGACAGGCCTCACCACTACATCTTCAATTCCTACTATAACTACGCCCACCCCATCAGTTACCATGCTACCCAATACAGTTCCAGCTGCTGGGCAGTGGATGATATACTACGATCCCAAAGAAACTATCGATAATATCAACGTTAAAAATTCAAATATCATCGACGCCTATAAAAGAGCCTGTCTTGCCTTCGAAAGCAGTCTTGCTATCGATGTTACATATTTGGCCCTGAAGGGAAACAATAAAACGGATGTAATTTTATTATTTTTATTCAATTTTGTTAAATTAATTCCATGTTTTAAGCTGAGTAAGGCTCTAAACATTTCTAAATTTTCATATATAAGGGCGTTAGAAAGGTCTATTTTAAATCAATTGTCTTTTCCAGAACTGTGAACCCGAACCCTTCGAACTCTGATATTTTACTGAACCAGAACTAGAACCTTTTTTTAAATTTAGGGTTCAGGGTTCAAATTTTTTTTTTTTAATTATTAAAAATTTGGACAGTATAAAAAAATATATATTTTAAAAAAATACTATGTAAAATATATATATACAATAAACGTTAAATATTAAGTACATAATTGTTTTCTTTATTTTCAATATTAAAAACATTTTATGTGGAATCGTTTTTTATTTTATTATATCCATTTTGTGTAAATTTATAATTTTTCTGGACACCGAACCCGATGATTTAGTGATTTTTCATTGAACTCTTTTTTAGAAGGAAGGCTCACAGCTGGTCTTTCCTAACAAGGGCTATAGGTTTTTCAAAAAATTGCACCATATTTTTTTAATCACAATATTATGAGTTGCTCTTTTAATTTATATTCAAAGATACTTAAACATTTTTGATTAATAATTCCTCATAAATAACTTGTTATAATCATTAGAACAAACAGGTTAAAATAGCTGTGCCAACCACATCCAATATTAGCGGAAAGTGTACTAACCTTGGTTATTTTTCCGATGATAGTCACACATCTCCATCTTCCACGCTGCACGAATGGCAAAACCTTAAATTGACGTTTCCCGTTAATAATCTGCCTTGGTATTTGGACATTGAGTTTGAGACGCTTCACGCTCTATCAACTGGCAAGACCACGGGTATGAAAGAAAGGATAGAAATGAAAAAGAGTGAACGATTTTTTAAGAAATAAACTTAAAGAACTAAGAGATTTTTAAAAAAAATCTATTTCAAACTTTTATGAAAAAATTTCTCCGGTCCGTGGTACCTGACCCGACTTATCTACATAGGGATTGGTAGAATAAGAAGGATATAAAGAAAAAATTTATAGAATATAAAATATTTGTTAAATGTCACTTAATTTTTCAATTATTTCATACTTCTCTTGAAAACAGTCTTACCAAATCATTACGCTTTACGTTCAATTCGAGTCTCATACACCACCCATTCTTTTAACGATTCAGTGAATCCAGGTAAGAAATATTTGATTGTTAAAAAAATATATCACTTCAAAAATAAATAAATTTAATACATTTTTGATAATCTTTCTTGCTTTTTCTATATGAAATTAATGTATTTATCAGAGACTTGCAGAGGTACCATTTCGGCCCGGCCCCCGGATTTTTTTAAAATATATTTTATTTATTTTTAATTTTTATAGCTAATAATGGCGATTTCAAATATTTGGTTTTAAAATTTACGGCCTGGCCCGGATATTTTTTTAAAAAATTTTTTAGGCTCGGCTCGGGTATATTTAAAAATATTAAAATATGGTCTCTGATATTTATTGAAGTTTAATAATTTATCTATTTTCATCACTAATTATTTGGCATATTCAAAAATGAATGCAAATTGAATATTGAATTATTTTTAAATGAATCGAATAATTTACTTACGAATAATAAAAACTACTATTTATATTCAATTTGAATTATTCGTTTTTTTAAATTAAATAATTTATAGGGAAATATATTGACAGATTTCTTTATTGCACTATTATGTTTAAAATATATTAAACCTTTCATTTTTAATGAGGATAAATATCTTTTGTGCAAATTTTGATTAACAGACAAAGGTTGGTTTTTTTTGCTTAACTCATCACACTTAATTATCCCTGTCTTTTATTTACGATGTGATTGGCTATTATAATGGCACACATAATTGAACCAAATGAAGAGCGGGATTTTTATGTACGGCATGCAAATCATTTTTTGATTAATTTTAACTTTTGAGTTTTTTACCCTTAAGCATCACTAATAATTTATTGCTGAATAATTTTGTAATTAAAACTTCAAATTGTCTATTTTATATAAATAAATCGCCATACTTTACTACTTATTACATAATTTTTACGTTGTAATGTACTACTACGAAGGACCTTATAAATGACTAGTGGTTGCCTAGTGATTTTATTCCTAGGGATATTACTCTCGATGATTCTCTTTATTTGTAATGGTATGTATTAAGCCATCCCAAATACCACTAAGCTAGCCTTCCGAAATGAGATAGTCCCTAATTCCCTCGCCATCCATACGACTTAGGGATTTAACAGTCATTTTGTTTAAAATGCTCATTAATAAAAGGGGCTGTTTATTTAACCTTGAAAAGGGAACCTGAGTTGAGCTGAATAGATCCAAATATCAGATGAAAAATTTACCGGACTATTTTTTACCAACTGTTCATTGCAGTTAAAATTGTTGCGAGTTAACTCTTTTTTTTCAGGTGTGAATGGTATTAAATTCGATTTGAATCCCATTCCAAATTAATTAATAATTGAGGATAGCTAATTTAATTTATTAAAATATATGGTTACAATAATCATGATAGAATAAATAAAATTAAAAAATTATAAAAGTTCAAAAAAACTAGTAAAAAATATAAATTATTAAAAATTATAAAATTTTTCTTTCTTTTTCCATATTCGATTTCTCTATTTATACTCACTTTAAACACTAAAGTTTACATACCATCAATACTAATTTCATATTTAATATCAATACAAAAACATTTCAAATTAACCTTTATAATATTGATATTTAAATTAATTATTTTTCATTTATACAATAACTTTTCTTTCAGTCCACGTCTTTAACCATTGGAACCTATTATAATGATAGTTAAAAGCAGATAGTGATGCTCTTACATTGTTTTAAACAATCTTTTTACTAATCTATTAATGTACTGTTTTCAAAGGGCTACTCTTTTTGGTGGCTATTTGTCACCTTTATCATTAAAGGTCTCATCATAGTCATAATATTATCCATAATTATGCTTGATTTTTATATAATAATTGATTACAAAGAAAATGAATTATATTATTTATTATTTTGTACATTTTCGAGTGTTAAACATTGATTTTTGAATAAAATTTATAATATTATTTTAAAAAAGGTTGTAAGAAAACTATGAAAATAAACAAATAGTGAATATAACATTTTTTTTTAAAATCATTCAATTTTATCAATATTTAAGAAATAATTCGTTTTATTAGAATCGAGTAATTGTTTATATATATTCCTTTAGATTCGTTTTTGAATAGGCTTACTATGATTATCATTAAGCTATTTTAAAATAAAAATATACATATTTTTTTTTTAAATTTTTGAATAAAATTATTTATCAAATAATATTTTATTTTTCTCAAACCGTAAATAAAATTTAACTCCAAAATATTCTTTTTATATAATAGCCTACATCAACTTATCATTGAGAGATGAGGCTTTGCTAAATATATTGGCAGCTCGGTTTAACGAAACCTATGTCTGCACCTCGGAAAACAAGATCAAATTTAACCCCAACTTATCCTTGAGTCATTCCAACACGAAAGTTCACCCTTTCATACCCTACAATTACAGCTTACCCGATACTTACAAAAACCAAAGCCTGAATGGGAGCGTTAACATTGAAGCCTACTTTCAAGATGGTAACACACATTATTGACACTAAAAATTATGTATGATATTAATAAGTAACCATTCTTCACTTTCTAAAGAATTGACTAAATTACTGTAATAACATTTTTTCCCTAACTAATTTTAATATTCATGATCGCTTTAACCTTTCCAACTCCAATGACAAATTATTTTATTTTCCCTAAACAAAATTTTTAATTCTATTTTTTAAATTTTATGGTAAATTAACATTTTAAAAATAATAGCTTATTCTTTCGATGAAAAACAACAAAATGCAAAAAAAAATATATATAATGTTTATGATTTTTATATTTACATTGGACATTTTTTTAAATATATATAGTATGGATTTGTTACAATGACAGAATGATTAGCGATAAAGTGGCTATAGCTGTTGGGTGCGCCTTAGCTGCTCTTATATGTGTCGTTTTAATTGCCTACTTTATTGCTAGAAGCCGGAGAAGCGGTTCTTGGGTCGGAAACATCTTTAGGAGAGGAGGATCTGAAAATGCTGGAACTTATCAACCTATCGATTAAGGGAAATTTTAGGGAAGCGATTTGATTTTTATACCTGGTCATAAGCTCCAAAAAATTACTTGGATTATAAATTAAAACAAATTTTGTCTTATTGTGGACTTTTTTTTATATTTTGGCCCCTTCTAATTTCAATTTATTATTCAGATTGAATAACGGAATATGTTTTATTATTTTTTTTAGATTAATTACTTAGCGAATATATTTAGTTTATCAGATAGGGCCTTAGTCATAAATATTTATCTATAAGTCGTTGAAGAAAGAACATTAATTATTTTATTATAAGAATAAAGTTTTTTAACTATATATTTTTTAAATCATGCACTCAATCCCATTAAATAAGTCAGATTAGTATAATATTAAAAAATAAATTATCTTGATTTCATTTATTCAAATTGATGATTTTTCAAATATTTTTAAATTTGATTTAATCTACACTATAATAGTAATATTTATAATACACTGAAAATGACGATTTTCTTACCATACCAGTGTAGTGTAGATTTGTTGAAAACATTATCATATTTTTTAATTTATTTGCGAGTAAAAATTACTTAACTTGTAAAATTGTTAAAATAACAATGGAGATGTTTTCCAGCAAATCTGAACAACACTATAAAGTTGGTTTAAATATCCTTTTATGCTTTTATTAATAATCCTGCAAAATTATTCAAATATTATTTATCAATGCGCAGTTTATAAAGTGATTTTATTTATATTTTGGTTTGTTTATTACATTTTAAATTTAAAGGATAATTTAAGATTTATATTATTTGTTTAACATATTTATACTATATTTTATGAAAATTCAATATTTACATATCTAATAGATTCCATTTTTTTGTTTAAAATTTTATATTATTATCTTATGTTACCCATAAGCATAACTCATAGTACCTAATATAAAAAAATAATATTAGTTATTTACTGAATATATAGTAGTTATAATAAGCACTACTCTTTATTGAATAAAATCGATTGACATATATATATATACTGGATATTAAGTGGATAGTTTTGCATAATATTCTTGAATAGAGATTATAGCGCAATATTTAATGACAATTAATTTAGAATTTATAGAGTGAAATTACCTATGTTTTTGCTGAAAACTAAGTCAAACTGAAATTGTAAATAGAATAGTTTTTAACTTATGTTAAAACAGAAAATAAGGATTTATACAATTAGTGATGTTAAAAAGCCCGATTTATTTCGATTTTTAAAAACGGCCTGATTAAGTTCTAAAATAATATATATATATATCGAAATTTGGCAAATAGAGGTCAATACCTTTCTATCATTTATGAGCCAAATCCTTGCTTACATAATATTATTTTAGTTTAAAATCTTAATCGGGCCGTTTTTAAAAATCGACACAAATTGGGCCACAAAACCTATACCATTTAATTTTAATTTGTTTATAACAAATATTCAGGCAGAGCCGAGTGGGAGGTTTGTTATATCATGCTTTCTGTTTTTTTTGCAACACAATATCGGAAAATTTCGAAAGAAACTTAAGAAAACTCAATTTTTAATGAGGCTGCTAAAAAAAATTTGCACCGGCCGCAATAAAATGGATATATCATTAACTATGCTAAATTGATAAATAATATTAAATCAACGGAAGGAAGAAACAATTAATAAAGAGATTTTTTAGAAAACCATTTTTTTTACTTAAAACGATTTGCCTCGTTGACTAAATTAAAACTGACATTTTTTTACCCAAATTCTATGGGTAAATGTGAAGATCGGATTAAATTTAAACTAACATTATTTTTAAAATAAAATTCTATGGGCAAATAATCTCATATCTCTAATTTATAATTCAGGATTAAATTCCACTTTTGTAAAATTTTGTTACGATTAGTCATTTATTAAAAGTATTTACCATTTGTTCCTATTTTTCAAAAATTTATCTCGGAAAGTAATGTTTATTAATAACTCCTTTTTAAAAATTAACATAACTTCTTCTTACTTAGGATATTTGTTCCCATTTTTCAATTTTTAAACTTTGAAATAAGTTATTTTTATAGCTAGTTACTTTCACTTAGAAATTAATTAAGATATGCAAAAGAACCTTAATTAAAGAGTGGGGTGGGTGATTTGGGAGCTCAGCCCTCAAATAAATTCATGCCCAATTAAAATTAATTATAATTATAACAAGTATTATATATAAAAAAACTCTGCTTCAGCAAGACCCTCCCGCAATTTCTAGGTTAAAACGCATACATCTCCCGCAATTTTAAAATTTCTCCTGCAATAAATTTAACGTTTTTAATTTATAAATAATAAATTTGTGAAACAGTCATTGATTATTTTTAAAATTAAATCTAAATTTTTTTTTCAAAAAACATGTCTAGTCAATTTCCTTCTAATATGTTTCCAACAATAACACATCATAACCATGTGTTTATGTTACTTAATTTTAGGAATTAGGATAGGAATATTTTATCTTGACTGGACTATATTCCCTTGAGGTAGAATTCCCTATTCTCTTAATTAAATTAACATTATATTCATTTAAATACATAACATAATTATAAATTATATCGGACTATTTCTATAAGATAATTATTTTATTTATTATAGTTCACCTTGAGCAAGAACAATTCATTGTCATTTCAACCAGTTATTTATTCAAATTATGATGACACAATCATTAATTAAGACCTTTAGATTTTTCAATTTTATTAAATATTTTTATAAAGAAAAATTAATAAATGAATTATTTTATATTATTCATAATATTTATTGTAGGTTTATTATGTCCTAAATATATTACCCTGGTGACTCCAAATATACTCTTTTCTCTATTTGCATGCAATCCCCTCATCTTGATAAGTTGTAATACCTTCTCTAATCTTTATTATGTTCTTCCATGGACCTCCTACTAATCAAAAGGTCATCCATATAATAAAAAATTCCCTCCATTCCTTGAAAAATTGAATTCATTGCTCTTTGAAAAATTGGCGCCGATACACTTAACCCGAATGGTAACCCCTTAAAGTTGAACAATCCCTTTTGCGTCGTTATACTCAACAGTTTACTGGTCTCTTCGCTAACTTTTAACTGTAAATATGCATTGGCAAAATCCACCTTTGAAAAATACCTGGCCCCTTTTAGACTAGCTAAAATTTCATCGATTCGCGGCAGCGGAAACTTGATCTCCTGCACCCATTGATTTATCGTGATCCGAAAATCAGCACATAAACGCAGAGTACCATTGGGTTTTCTAATGGGTACTAGCGGTGTCGCCCAATTACTATTATCCACTGACGCTATAATTCCCTTCTGCTCCCATCTGTTTAACTCTTTTTCTATATCATCTCGCCATTCAAAAGAAACTCGACGAATTGGACAATAATTAGGTATAATTATTATATATTTTAGTTAGAATGCAATGAAATGTGGAATTTATGGTTCCATGGGCAGAATTCCAATAGAATAATTCTTCGTACAAAAACAATAATTTTTTATTCAATTTAAAATAAATTCAAAACTTTCGTATAAAATATAATTCTTTTATTTAATTTACAATTAAATCCAAAAACTTTCGTAGAAAAATATAATTCTTTTGTTTAATTTACAATCAAAAATCAAAAACTTTTTTCATTAAAATCATCACTTTTTTTCCCTTTTCCTTCATACATAATAATAAAAAAAAAACATTATTAATTTTAAAAAAAATACAAAACACTCCAACATCAATCACCATATCTCTATCATATACTCATAATTACAACATTCCTATTTCAACAAATGTCAAGCACAGGAATTTGCTTGGTCGTAAAATTTACAATTTTGTGCTCATGCCTGCTCTCAGCAAGAACCCTGAGCACAGACCCGGAGTTCAGACCCGGCACAAAAACCCATTTATTTTTAACTTTTTTTTGAACTTAGTAGAAAAGTATACATAATATTTATTCATCCCTCTCGGTCTCGATAGGCTAATAGGGCTAGGTGTGTGAATTATATACTGTAGTCTACTAGTAATCATAATTATTATTCTAGATGGGTGGGTCCAAGAGGTTATGAATATTTTTAACAACATGATGATATTGATATTATGGGCGTCAAATAAAAGGTGTTTTAATTAAATTTTGACTTTAATACTTATTATTAATATTCTAATTAGGCGGGTCTACTAGGTCTTATGAGGTCAGAAATATTTTTAACAATGTAAAATATTGATATGGGCGTCAAATAAAAGGGAATTTAATTATATCTTGATTGTAATCTAAATTATTATTCAAAGTGGGCGGTCTAGGATGGCACAGGAATATTTTTAACATGGCACTATTTATCCGCAATTTGAAAATTTTGACCTGGAAACCCTGTTCACATTATTTAATAAATATATATTTTATTATATCATATTTGATATTCCCGGCACAAAACCCCATTTATTTTTTTCCCCAAAATTATATGTAAGATTTATTCATTAGGAGATCAGGCGTTCCCTCTCTACTTTGTACTGTAGGCTAATGTATAGGGCTTAGAAGGGGCAGGAATATTTTTATCCAAAATAATAATATAGGTAGTCCTGAGGAGTCAGGAATATTATTATCAAAGCAAAATATTGACTGACAAAACTGATTATGACTTACGATAAACTCTATTGTGTTTATGAATATATTTTAACATTTTATTTTTAGTAAATTTACCAACCAAGGGCATCCTACTATAAATAGTAGGATTTTTTTGATTTCCTTTTAAAAAGACCTGTTGTTGTAAATTTAACTAGAATATAATTTAAATAATTATAAACAATTAATTCTAATTATTGTTTAAAAAATAAGAATATATTTTTAATATTTCTACTATTAATAACTTTCTTTCACATCCGTTTTTTTGATTTATAAATATTTATCCTTATTAAAAAATAAAAACTATATTTCCATTCCCCCTTCCATCTGTTTTTTTCCAAAAAATTATTATTTTTCATGATAATAATTTTTTTATTTAATATCATTTAAGTAAAGATTAAAAAAATGTCCTCCATGAGATTTCAGCATTTATAATTCCAAAGTGCCGATAACTGAAAATTTTGTCGTCGGAAGAAATTAATTAAGTAAGTTATTTTATTGATATACTGGCCATCCGTCAAGATAAAAAAAATAAAACAGATATATTTTGACAAAGTAACCGCTAAGTATTTAGTATCTAGGTGACAATTGACAAACTTATGATATTATAAATTTTGATATATATTTTTTATGAGAAATTATTTTTTCATGGTTAACATAAAATCTTAATAATCGCATAATGTGATATTTTATTATAATTTATATTTAAACAAATATATATAATTATAGTATTATGATAAATATAATGAAATAAAAAATTATATAATATACATTTAAAATATATATATATTCTCCAATCCAAACGCATATAAAATATTATGTTAAAAATTCGTATTCCGTTATATAAAATTGTCATATTCCTATTACGAGTGAGTTTTGCACGGTAGAGAGAACATACATAAAGCCCCGCTTCAAATAATATTTTAACATATATGTAAATATTAAGAATTTTATTGAGATAAATAATATTATTATATGACATGCATGATACTTAATGTTTTAAAACGGGGCGAATTTAACCAAATAAATATTCGCGTGCCTGCACTTAGCTAAATTTCAATTTATGTTTTTAAATTGACTGCATTTGAGACTTTTAACAACACGAATAATAAATTGAACTCAAAATAACCTATTAACATAAATATTTATTATAGATATTTTGCTTAAATAAATTTATAAATAAGTGATATTTTATATTTCTATTCTTACCTCTCTAATTGATGTATGTTTATTAAAAATAT